AAAAAAAAAAAAAAAAAAAAAAAAAATGACTCGTTTTAATGCCGAAATAAAAAGAATTTTATCGAGCTCCGCTCTTAGACTCTCAGAGCGTATCGGTTCTTAGAATTCCAATGGATTCCAACGATTCCAAACGATCGTCAGCTTGGTAGTAAAGCGTATGCGCGCGTATGCATCATTCTAAATGAGCATCGGGATAAATAGACGATAATCGTATGCGTACTTTCGCCACGAAGAACAATGTTGCTCGATGAACGCCTTGACCTAAACCGCCTTCTCTTGCCTTCACGTTGGCTTATTAGAAAGAAAATGTCGATCGAAGAATATACCTTCCAATGACTATAAATTAGTCTTTCCTGTCGATGCTTTTCCCAGATCGTCGGTTAGAAACGGAAAAGAAACGAACACGGAATGATCAAACGTCCATGATTAAACAGCGATGAGGCTGAATCAAAGACATACACGCACATTGTTCGTGCAGAAGCAATAAAGAATCGTACAAGGCAATGCAATATAAATGTAAATTGATGTCGCTACGGCAGCTTGGTATCTAATCATCTATTGCTCGTCCACGATAACTTCACGTTAATCAATGCTTAACGCTTGTCAATTTTCGTACTAATAACTTATGAATAGATTATGATTAATGGTGTGTCATTTGATAAATGGAAGGAAAAAAAAAAAAAAAGTCAATGTACAGTTATTCCATCGTTTCATCTATGAAATTGCTTCGTTCTATAGAAGATACGTTTTTATTATGATAATATTGTATGGAATAATTTCATGAAGATGCAAGATAAATCAATCGACTGTGACAACGAGCCTGCTCGATTGCAATTAGCATTCAGCCGCGATTTGCCAGACTGACTTCTGTTTGGGAGATGTAGTAGCGTATCGTGGTCCACGTAGGACACGTATCGAACGTTGTATTGACTGGTGAGATCACGATCGACTAAGTTATCGCGATTTAAGCACGCCTAGTCTCGTTAATCACGATCCAACTGTCTGGATCGCGATCGAGGCGCGAGATCTCGACAGTGACACTTGGATCTACCTTGCAACTCTTTCTCTTTCTCTCTATGTATAATCTGTATCTGTGTATTGTTGTACTCGTGCACGCGTTATCTGACCAAACTCGGGCGTTGTAAATCACGCGTTTATCTCGTTCGAGATCGGATCGGTGATAGACTTAATGCATCTTTGGGACTGGATAACGGTGGCTTAACATTTCTCCGAATCTTAGCGTGAATCTGAGATTAATTGCAGATTAATTCTTGTTTCGTCGAACGTGGATACGTCGATGATATGGGTGCAAATCGAAAAGTTTTATCGACGAAACGTCGTTTTATTTGTACAGTTGTTTGCATCGATTTGGAAATTGAATCTTGATAAGGTTATTTATATTTTTACGAAGCTAGATAAGAAATATAATTTTAACTCGAATATAACTAAAAATTGGTCTTTGAGGATGGATTTAAGAAGTCTTTCTCCTCTTTGAATTTTTAATTGATGAAAATAATTTTTATGACAATAGATATTATGGTATATCTGGATAAAAATTATGAAGTTAAGAATATTTATAATTTTAATAATATTTAATATAGATTGGTAATTTGTTTAATTTCTTAGAATTTTTCTACTACTTTTCTCCAAAAGGAAGATAGGCTATTAATAATAAAAAGAGTGAAAATCATAAAAAAATCATTATGCAGAAATTAACATAGTAACTTAGAAATTATATATCAATGTAATAAACAGGTATAATCTATAATAATGATATATAATTAACTTTAATCAAGGTATAACGGATCTTTTAAAAATTAATAAATGTACATTTGCCTGATTCAGAAAGGAAGAATCTTGAAAAATATATATTGCAAAAAATGTCAAATACCAGTTACGATATAATAAATGTACGAACAATTTTAATAGAAAATTATTATTTTCTAATGGTACGTTTGATTAATCGACTGAACGTGATAAGTTACACAAATTGGCAATCAGTCTACGTCTGTAGACATTTTTTTCCAATCTCGTAATACGATAATTACATCTCGTTGGTGTTTCTACCAACTTCAAGGTATTCCATTTAAGAGAAAGTGCCTAATCATTAACTGACTTGATTAATCTACTCGAAATGTTAAATTAATCAAAAGATATTCATATATCCACTAATAATCTTTCTGTCCTTTCTTCAATGAAAAGAGTTTCACGTTTCACGGATCCTTATTTTTCTCTCAAAGATATCCTTTTAATTCAGCAAAAATTCACTCGATCTATAAATTCATTGGTTTATCACAGGTAAATCTATAATTTATAATAGATAAATTTATAATGATTTTTTTTTCTTGAAAATAAAATGAATATTAAAATTCCAGATCTTACGATTCATCGGCGATGATGACGGATATTGCAAGTTGCTCGAAGCATGATAAGCGAAGAGAAGATATTTCGATCATCATTTTTTATTTAACGCAGTAAGTTGAAGGAACATGAATGCCTCGTGTCAAAAGGTGAAGGCGAACGAAATGGATTTTCCGTTTTTATGACGTTGTGAGAAAACGATCTTTCAGTTGACTTGTACCGAAGTCAATTGACCTTACTTCATACCTATCATTTTACTTGTTCGAGGTGATCACTTTTATTCTCATATCGATAATGCGTATTGCACATAATAATTACTATGTTTACGCGATTGTATCTTTCAGGGTCGAAAAATCGCGATTAGAAAAACAATTGCCTATTTATGTTTGATATTTATTCAATGCCTTCGTTGGAAAATCGAGTCTCCTAAGGATAGACATCTGGATAGACAACATTAATTGACGATTAATACTCGAGCGAAGTATTAAATGCTCTTTTCAAGTTAATAGAATTATAATTGTTTTCTCTTAAAAAAAGGTAAAAATTATGTGTTTTGCGTTATAAGTAGATAGATATCAATCCACTAATAGCATATTCTTCACGATTTTTATTATAATATTTCTTTGCTCATTTGTTTAATTATTATTTTTATTAAAAAATTATTATTATTAATTCACTTATACATTTATTATATATTACAATTTAAATATTAATATCGTATTTCTCTTAGTAATTGAAATTTTTTTTATTAGTTATAACGATTTCGTTAAAATATAATGGCATTTAAATAAGTGAATTAATAAATTTATAATTTCAAAGTTCTAGTTAAAAAAAACTGCAAAAAAAAAAAATATGTTTTAAAATCAATGCTAATGAAATGCATACAGAATAATAACTTTTTGCATCATAAAATACGTCACTGCCGTCTAACAGCCTCGACTCGTGAATACTTTTCAGACCGCAAAAATTTCATTCTTCACTTTATCGTGCATCACTTTTTTCAAGTTTCTTTTCTTCTTGTTTTTATTTTATAAAAGTACCAACAGGCATTCTTCCTCTTAAGGATTTTTTATGTGTAAAAAGTCGGTCAGAAATAACGTTGTCCCTTTTCGTCACGAAACCTTCAATTAAGCCTATAAATTGTAAGAAATCGTGGTTGCGAGATCAAACTGGACGTCAGTTCATCGACCTGCGAAGCCTAACAAAGGATCCACGAGAAAGTTTTCACTCATGACAGCAGATAACAGACCGTGACAAAGTACTTGCAGCTTTTCTGCAACACCTGATACATCGCAATTACCCATGTCATCCTTAATTGGGTTACGCCCGTTACAACGATTGCCATCATTTTTCGCGTCGGTCCTTTTCATCCGATCTCACGTTACACGACTGATAAACGTACCAAAATAATCGTTGTTTTTGCAAACCATATCAGATATTTTCATTACACGTATCTTCTATAATTCTTCACTTTTCTTTTATTCATATTGCGTATTTTATTCGTCTTGATTTGTTAACGAGCTTACTTGAAATCGTTTTAGTGATCTATAGGATGTTATAGAACAATAGATCAATCTTCTATGAAATTTAGTTTAATAATATAATAATGATAGAATATTTATATCACTGCAGAATGCAATTTTTTTTTTTAATAATGAATCTTAATTTTCTTAATAATTTCTACATATGGTATGAGGATGAATTATATAATTCATAATTGTATTGTTTTTATAATTATAAATTATATAATGAATGATGCGAGTTATACACTCGATTATACACATGATCAGGATTATATTTTTCCATACATAAAATTAATTTATTATTTCTAAACATTCTTATGCAATTTTTTTTTTAATTTTTTTCTTTTTTTTATTTAGGTGTATAATAAAATGAAGGACAAATAAAAAAAAAAGAAAGATGTATTTCGTTCGAAAGTAGCTGCACCAAGAATGTGAGTTGGAATGATTTACGATTCTTTGCAAGTCATAAAAACATCAGCTATAAGGGATGGAAAGTTTTTGCGAAGATTTGAAAGAAAATTTACGATGTGCTCTCAGGTTTCGATATAGTGGAACAGTACCTTTAATTACGAGGTAAAATGATTGGTCTTGATAGTTGACGCGAATCTTTAATATATCGATGGCGATAAATTAGTAAAATATCGATTGACTATAATTTCTTCAAGCTATGGCATCGTTTCGAAATGAAATTTGTATCCTTGTGGAAAAGAATTCGATATCTTAATAACTCGTAACACTTGAGAAATTATTAGGTATTTTGATACGGATAATTACTAGTTAGTAAATTAGTCTCGTAGAATTTAGTGCTGTTATTTAAAGCTTTAATTTCAGCTTCTCCATAAAAGTAAAATATACAAAATCTATTTACTCGTTTCGTGTAAATAAGTAAGTGACCTCGAGACAGTTTGAACGAAATTTCATTTTAATTATGCTGATTAATTATACGTATGATTCTGAAGAATGTATTTCTATAATGATGTCCAAATTTGGTGAATATAAGAAAAAGTATTTTGATCATTAAAACTGAATTAAGTCGAGAAATAATATTCGACTGTTAATTAATTACGATCTTTTAAATTGTTCATTAATTTAATTTTTTATATATTTTTTTTTATTATATTTTTTTCTATAATAATTTTGAATTGTTGCTTTACGATAGATAAATTCATAATTAACAATTTTATTGATAAGATCGTAATTTATAGATTCGATTAATACCAATTGAAGAACTTAAATATTATTAATACATAGTAATAAATATCTATTTTTCAGATTGAATGAAGTTACTTTTGATCTTACAGATCGTAGAATCTATAAATGATCTGTCTATTAAATTATCGAAAAAACTATATAATTTTCGATTAATTGAGGGGTATTCCTTTGGGAAAGAAATGGTCGATCACAGCATGCAATTTGTAACTGATTCAGAGAAGAGACTCGATATTGATGAACAAATTATGATTAACGTCGTAAAAAAAGAGATAGGTATACTAAAATTATAACTTTCTTTTTTTTTATAATTTATATTATTTTTTATGATAAGAAAGTTGAAATATGTAGTTTATTAAATATTATGCAAATCTTTTCAATGAATCTAAATATCAAAGATTAATCCCTTAATAATAATAATTTGATACTTTCTAACATAAAATTAAAAGTTTATTATTTTCTCTTTAAAAGATTTTCAAATCTAATTGGATTATTTATCATATTCCAAGCTAAGAATATAAAAAAGTTACTAAAATCTAAGAATTCAACAATGTGGAAAATTTTTGTTATTGACATATGAAGGATTAAATCTTTTTATCCTCATATTTCTTCTTTCATATTTCAACTTTTTTCTCTATATTTTAATTCATTCACTTCTTGAAAATATCAACCATAAATTCATCAACTTAACCCGTTCGTTGTCACATCTTTTGTTTATTAATTTTAGTTATATAATACAAGAATTAACTAACTACATTTATTTTTTTTATAATTAACGTAATCAAAGTGTTTCTTTTTAAATAGCGGTAACGAACGCGTTTTAATCCATCTAAAAATAATATCTAATACATGTATGTTGTGCGTATTGATCCAAAAAAGAAGACAATCGTAAAAGCAATGGAAGTAGACTGTTCGGTCGATCGTAATCGGTTTTTTCAGTCGTATATCAGCGGCAAGATTGGTTTCAGAAAATAACTCGGACTCGAGTTATTCTCGACTCGAAGGCCGCGTGCCCGTTCCGCGTGGCACAATTGCACAATTGCGAATCTGTCCGATATCTATCAGCTGACGGGCATCCCCCTTTCACCCCCGTCCACTTGTTTTTCCCGTGGATATCGTCGCTTCGCAGCAGTTCGTTTTTTTTTCGCAACGACTCGTTAGGATCTAACGATGCCGCTCAGTGTTGCTTGTGCAATTGATTGGCAACAGGTTCTGCACTGAAGGAGATTCCTTTGTTGATTCGGTGTTATTAAAATCGAAAGGAGAAAGGATCGATACGTATCAAATCGTAATCATTGATTGTATACTTGTATAGAATTAGGATTTTTTTTTTAAAGTGTGAATAAATGAATATTTCGTTACTGTGTTAAAATTGTTGTGGGTAAAATTGAAGCATGTAGATATTCTTAAATGGATTTATATTTTAGAAAATATTGTATTGGGGATGAAAGAAAAGTATTTCATGTTTCACGAATCTTATTTGCAATTTAAATATTATAATTAACTATCATGTTTCTATAGTATTGAAAATTTATGTGACTCGATTAATTTAAGGATTGAACGGAATTATTTTAGCTGTTTATATAGAATGTGAATATTTCAATTTATGATATACATGAAGTTTTATATTTTTAATTGCAAATAAATAGTAATATACTTAAAATAATTTTTTCTATTAAAATTTTGTGTTTCAGATGCAGAATTTTAAATTTAAAAATATTCCAAAGTGAAATTCAACAAATAATCGGTGCTTTCATCATTCAAATTAGTGTCTTTGATATTATCATAATTGAAGCGTGCTGCCATCTTGCAGGATGATCATGCACCAAACTTACAATATCTGCTGTCTTTTTATCATCTCATATCACTAAATATTCAAAATCTACATATAAATTTAATATTTTGCTCATATATCCTTCAACAACTATTTCTTTTTTACATAATATAGAAAGCTACTTATTATTCTCCATTCATTTATCAACATTTTCACGTATTTACACAGAATAAAAGCTGTAAATACAGACATAGAAGTGATAGAAATATTTATAAATATAAAAATTGTAGAAGCATATAATTTAATTTATAATAAATGCATAAGAAGAATATTAAATCTAAGAGATTAACAATTCAAAATTAATTTTCTTTTTCAGTTAAAAGTTTAAAAAATGAACAATGAAAATTACTCACCTTCTTACGATGCGGACAGCAAGAAGATCCATTGCCCATGGTTCGATCTTTCAAACAGCGAAAGAATCAATCCTTACACTAATTCATAACACTTCAACACAACGCTTCCAAATTTTCTTCGCACAATCATTTCTTTTTTTCTTCATCGTTGTTTCGAGAAAGTTGCAGGTTTATTATCGCGTTGGTATTCGAGCCAACCGCTCCATGAATAGTCCAATCGCCTTTGTTAACTATCTCCTGAATCTCGACAAGATCACCTTCTCGTAAGTTTTATATCTGATCTGACGAAAAAGGTAATCAATGAATATATCATACAATTTTCCTCTTGCACACTTATTTCTTCATTTCTCATTTTCTTTTATAGGTTCCTTTAAATTTTCCTCATTTTCTCATCATACTGATATCCAGATCAATAGAATGTGAAAGGTCTTGATCTCGTAGATGAAGTAAAGAAACGAGAAAAGACTAGCAAGTAACAGTACGGTGAAATGACCGCAAGAAATCGAAGAAGCCTTAGTAATTGAGAGAAATGGATGAGCTGACAGTAATGTTCCGATAATATGGATTACTGTGTCAACTGTGCAGCTCGTGGAAATATAAAGTTTCATCGCGCAACATCTTCCTGGATGAAATTAATTAAATCGAAATCATTCAAATATCCGAAGAAAGCATTCGATGAAGTCAATGATTCTTCTATTCAAGATCGATGATTCCTCTCTTCAGGAAGATTAACGAGATTCCAGAAACGAAGAAATTCGTTTCGAATCGAATTGGTCACCGTTTAACTTTTGTTTTTTTCGATTTTCTTCTTTTCTTCCGTTTTCTCGCTCGCTTTTTTTGAAATTCGCGCGCAGAACAGATCGGTAGCAATTGAGCGATAAGACTTCGGTTTTGACCTCTCGATGCGGGAATATGGAAGCGCTAATGAGTGTCAAGAGGTTGGCCAAGTCGAAAATAGAATCTGACGTGCTCCGTAAGAATTTTTTTTAATATCGTCTCGACGGATCGTCGACGTTGCGATCCGAGCCATTTCGATCGTTTCAATCGTTCCACTTTGCTATAAAGTTTTTAACGATAAGTTCACAAGAATAGAAGATAATTTCACGATCACTTAGATTTTTGATAATACAAAGAAAATTAACGATATTAATATAGAAATAGAAAAAAAGAGGATTGATTTGACTATAAAATTTTGTATTACGATCTTCTCGAAATTGGAGCTCTTTGATGTTGCAAGTGAATACAATTCTGTTTATTACTAAGAAAATATGCGCATGAAGATTCGAGTATTTCATATATTTAAACCTCGGATGGCGGACCATAGACGGCGATGACTAAGTCATTTCTAGCCGCCTCCTACATTTATCATTACTTTATTAAATTATACATATTTGAAGAAAATTATAGAATCATATCATTCAAAAGTTGCATATATAAAATAAAAGAAATCATAAACAATTACAAAAATATAAAATATAGAATATCGATAATCGAATTTTTAATATAATTCTATTTCCAAGATGGATTTTTCTTTTTCATTCAGAGCTCTCTTCTCGAACGATCCAATTACAAATCAACCGAGGGTTAATTACCATGTAATTCAAACGAAAAGAAAAATAATTTCATGTTATACGTACAGCTATACCGAACGATTGCTCGACGTTTATATACGCGTTTCGCAACGAAAGGATTAAAAATCGACGTGGCTCGATCGCGAGAGAGAAAGACTTGATCACCGGTTCGGCGTGTTTCAAAAACTGCCATCGAATTTCGAGGAAAGTAACCGGGGTCCGCTCGCACGTGTTTACGCGTGCGCCAGCACACGGTACCAATATCCACGCGAGTCACCGCTTTATTTTCCACCGTTACATCACTGTCGTCAGCGTTTCACTGCCGCTTCACGATAGTGCGCGCAGTTTATCGAGCCTCGAGAAAACAATGATCCATCGTGTCCATCGTGATTTGCCTTTCCGGTACCGTTCCTCTTCGTCAACCGTAACGTTCTCCACCTTCATGCTCGATTTTCTTTCCTTCTTTCTTTTTTGAATTTTAAACTTAATATATTCTGGAATATAAATCGATGGATTTTAATTTCTAATTAACAAAACACGTCGAGTTGCTCTTTTGGGAATTTATCTTGCGATTAATCGATGAAGATGGAATTCCTTCTTTCAGAATTTTAAAACGGTAACACACTTGTAGAATTTTAAAACGATAACACACTTTGAAAGTGAAAATTTTAAATACACGAGGAATTTTCAATTTTTATTTTCAATAAGTCACGTCGAATCGCTCTTCAGGAATTTAACCACCGACGATTAAATCGACGAATACGAAATTCTTAAAGGTATTCGATAATTAAACGAAGAATTTCGCGCTCTTGAAATGCCAAAGTATGCAAGAACGAACGCGAGGATCGCGAGGCACTCGACACATAACTAGCAAACTCCGTGCACTTCATTCTTGTGTAGCACGTGTTGATCGTAAACAGTGACTTGCGTCAGCACACGAGTCCCGCGGAAACTTGTTTTGTCAATGGACTGATAGGTCGCGTGAAAACCAATGTCGTCAAAGCTAAGGATGGACGAGGAATAATCTGAACAATTAATAAACAAACCGAGTCATCTTTCCACGAAAGATTAAAATAGACCGGTCGAAACAAAAAAATGTATCTCTTTACCTATTTTTCGAGCCACTTTTCGCTATTATCGAAACGATGTGAACGAATATCATGATGAATCGATGAAATTTTCATGCGACACTGTGACATAATGAATCTCGTCTTCGTACTGAAGAGACTGAATTTCACTCGAGCCACGAATCGCTGACATCATTCCGTTCGTGTTGCATTTTTATCATTTGAATATTATGTACTTTTTTATCACAAACGTTTAAAAATATTATGTTCGATTATTTATTTATCATTCTCACCATTTTGATTATATCACAATATCTATTACTGTATTCACTATTATATTCGTTATTCTCATAATTTTCGCCATATTTTGGAGGTATTACAATCAACTGCCGCTCATCAGTCTCCTTGACTGGAAGGAATAAAACGACTAACTAGCCGCTCGTTATCGCGTTGGCGCACTTAACAAGCAGTCGATAATATTTTCCATACGATATTCGTTTCTATAGTTAGCAACGGGCGAGTAGGTTTCGATGAAAGTGTGAGATTAAAGCTGTGTTACACGTAATCTGATGGTTGCTCGAGGCTTAAAAACCGGCGAGCACGTAATCGAAAGAGAGGCAGAAGAAGACTGAAGAAAAAGGCGAGTTCGGGACTCACCTTTTCGCGCGTCGTGAGCATAGTTTCTTATCGTATGCCGCCTGTAAACATTGCTTACATCATCGTGATTGTCGATGTTGTCGTCGGTACGCGGGCCACGTTCATTTCGAACTGGTACCATAGGGCCAACCAGTATTGTGTGCGAACCTGGCTTCCGGTTTCGTTCATGGCACGTCGAATTTCGAAACAGTACTCTTTTTAAAAAGAAGAGAATCGTTAGAATGAGGGAAACGTGATCAAAGAATTGAAATTTTAAGTTTGAATCAATGGGATTGAATTTTAAGCTTGAATTATTTTTTGTTCTAGGTGGGAGTTGGAGTTGGTTAAAGTCTTTGAATATTTGATGTGGAATGGAAATAATTTTTGTACACCTGTATTATGTATTAAATTATTTTGAATAATATCATCTTGAAAATTCAATTGCAAAGAATCATTCAAAATTCTCTGAAATCCAAGTAACAGGTATTTTTTTTTTAAACTATTTCATACTGAACATGAATTATTTTTATATTTTTATAATCAGTATAATAACATTTTTGTACTTAAAAAGAATAAATATATTTTATATTTATTGTACAGATATAGAATAATCTAGATAGTATAACTACTTCAATTATTTAATTAATTAAAATTGATATTTCATTTTTTTGTTTTTATTATTTATTTTATTATTTATAATTTAAATATGCCTAATTAAAAAAAAATGATTTGAAATTTTTTCTTGTATGTAAAAAAGTAATGTAAATATTAAAAATATTAAATGATTTTTAATTTCAGGTATTAAGTATGTCGAGGATTACGTATATGGAAATTTATTTTAAACTATTAGTTCAAAGATCTTGTTAAGTTGAGTTTACTCTCTTCTTCTCTTAATCATTTTCAATCAACAAGATCAGACAATGTACAAATTCGAAGATTGAAAAGAAACTATGTTGATGTTCAATTTGTAATATCAATTACAAAAAGAAAAAGATCAAAAGACTACCCACGTGTAATCTAAGATTCGCTTCCCTTTATCATTAATCAGCATTTTCATTAGAACTTATTATTTCGGCTATGATCCGTAATTCCTTAACAGTGTAACTTATGGCATCCGACAGACTGATTAGAATCTCCCTGGCTGTAATTTCTCCATAAAGTGACTGCCATTTATTTGAACTGCCAATAACGATTACTCGTCACTTGCAAAATCTTTGATTGCTTGCTTTCGAGATGTTCTTCATCAAGAAAAAATTCTTGGATGACTGGTGCAAGGTCCAAGGAAAATGAACTTTGATTTCGATATAAGTCTTAAACTTGATGATTCATGGATTTTTTATTTTTGATTTTTTTTTCTAATAAATATTCTTTTAATGAATTTTTTTTATTACATATATATATATATATATATGTTTTAATAGAAAAATGAGAATGGGATAAATTATAGCCAGTAATGAATAAGTCTCATGAATTAATACATATAAAAATTTATATGTATGATTAAAAAATTAATTGATATGATAATGAAAACAATAAGTAGTATTTAATTTTTTTTCTTAATTTAAAATAATATTTTAATTATATTTTAATAAAATAATATTTAAAATAATATGTAAATATTTGTATAAATAATGTATAAATAATATATAATGTATAATGTTTAAAATAATATATTTATAAAATATATTTAATTTATATAATATTTATGTAATATATTTATAAGAAGATATGGAGTTTTGTATGATGAATAGTAAAAATAATTTATGTTATTGATAAATAAATGCAATAAAGTCAAAGTAAGTCTTTTAAAGTGACATTAATTAGATATTTCAACTAGATTTTAAAGAAAGGAAATTAAATCTATTTTAATATTGATTATTAATTAATATTGCAGATCATTACTAATATTCAAATAAATATTCAATATAAATATATTTTTTTTTTAAAAAAAGAAAGAAACGTTATATTTTTTAATTTAATGCTTTTCAAATTAATTGTGTTGATATTCTTTCATAAATGTGGTTAATTTTGTTCAAAGGTTTATAATAAAATAAAATAACAACGATTTATCAAAACATGTATAACGATTTATTGAGGAGCTATTCAAGCATGTTAAATTTCATGAAATGCAGGTACCTACCTATCTACTCACTAGCGTTACATTAGACGCGCATTTTACTCGCAAAACTGTACGATCTATTTCTTTTTATTTTTTTCTTTGAAGGAGAGTTGCATAAAATTGCATTTAGTTCCCTTCGCCGATCTGTTCTTGTTTAGCACCATCATCGCTGCATACCAAATCAACTATCTCTAACTATTTTCGTTTCAACAAAATTATCTTATATATTATCATATTATATCATCAAAATTTCATTAAATTCTTTCTTCATCAAATTTATAATCAATCAAGTCTTCATCAAATTGTAACATTTTAACAATATTTTTCAATATTTTTCAATATTTTTTTCTTCTTTTCTTTTTAATAAATTATATTCAAGAATAAATAATTTAGATAAAACAAACGAATCAACTTCCTTCGTTTTCTATCATCTACATAATACATATCGAAAATAATTCTTGTATTCGAGTCAGTTGCATGCTGACAAGGTCGCTGCTATGATCGTGCTAGACACCAGAATAAATCTGCCTACGTTAGTTTTGATTGCCAGTCTTCAATGCTCTGGTATTTTTTTTCTTTTTTTCTAAGTTTTTTCCTTGTTTTTTTATTCTCTTTATTTCGTTCTTAGAATTCGTCGTTCGCTTTGTCGATCATCATCGAAAGCTAACGTCGAATTTTCGAAATGATTTCGATTAAACTTTCGTATTCGAAAACAGTGCTCGCACTATACAAAACGGTTGTTGCTGTTGCTATTTTATTATGCGTACAAACTAGAATCCTTTTTTTTAATCGTATGCAACGAGAAATCAAAATATCTTTAATAATTTTTTATACTTTCTTTATCTTTTTTATTTTCTCTTTATAAGAATTAGATTAATCATCTGAAGTAAAATTAAAATCGAATCAGCTAATCGATAATCAATCGACGGTGATTTCTCGAAAGAGAAACGGATTCGATTTCTCGCAGCATTCGATCGTTTCTTACGCTACCAGTCGAAGATAACCTTACAAACTTAATTTACACAATCGTTCTTATGTTTTCGTGAGAAATTATACGACGTGTGAATGCAAATTATCGAGCAATCGAGAAATTTCATCTGGAAAGTTTAATCGTCTCGCTTATTAATCTTAATTTTTTTCTGAATATCTTTGTGTGTACGTATGTGTTGCGTATATTCATGCACGTGTTCTTTACATTTGTTCACCCGTGTAATTTTCGTGCTGATTTATTTTTTTTCTTTTTTTGATTCGCAGTTTTCCATTTGTATTTGATTGTTTAGTCGAAAATTATCGAGCACGACGCATTTGGAATTAGAAAGGCTGGAATCGACTACGATTTTTATTTATTTTTTTTTCCGTGAAGTTTCACTCTCTACAACGATAAATGTGCATATACCGAAAAGTATCAATCGATCGTTCTTTTCCACGAAGAATCCAAAGGGAGAAGAAGAATGGAAAGATAAATCCTTCAATTCGCATTTGATTCTTCGTCAAAGATCCTCGACACGGCCATAATTTATCAAGTTTTTACAGCTAGTTAACAGAAAAAATAAGGGCTCAAGACCAATTTCGTGATTGTTTTTCTCTAGAAAGGTAATTTTAGAAATATTTTCGAATATTAAATCAAAATTTTTTAATTTAACTAGATTTTCCATGCGTAATTTTGAGTGAAAATTCGTTGATAAAGCATTTAGTAACATGATTAAAAATTTTAAGAAAATAAAAGATGATTGAGCTTTTTGAAAAAAGGCTTTATAGGAATTTATATATTGTATATATTTATGTATTTGTACAATAATTAATATTGAACCATTATTAATTATTTTTGTAATTATAATAAGTATAATTGTTAGATTAATGCAAATGTCATATTTTAAAGATAGACTAATATTCTGTTAAATGTTATCAACTGCATTACACATTACAAGAAATAAATTTTCTATAAATCATATAAATTAAATGTTTTACATCCATAATTATGAATTATTATATATAATTAGAATATTTTTTATTCGATAAATTGCTTTAAAAGCAATTTCCAACAAAGAAAAGTTATAAAAATTATGCACATTCGAAAATTCGTTAAATTTTAATCAATTAATCGATGTATTAAGACAAAATTTGCTCGTATATTCCAAAAAATCGTTATTAAATTTTTTACACTCAATAAAAATGCAAGAATTTACTTTAAACGAATAAAAAGTTTCATTCTGGTTGGCTATTTTGATATTTTGATCAAGAGAATTGTTTTAAATGCCTTTTTTCAAAAAATACTCCTTTGAATTTTGCAATTTTGTGTCTGAAATTTTTCAAAACTGGTCTCCAAGCACCCGGTGCGTAGACATATCTACGACATGTGCACGATAAATCGAAATATATCGACTGCGATCAAGATCGAAAGCGTACATCGAATAGCCTGCGCGAATTCCTCTTTTCGATCCTTGTAAAGGATCGACGTAACAGTATCGACGCGACAGTATCGACATTATACCGTTATGGTCGGCTCCTTACAGTTTTAATTTACGTTTTAAATTACGAGCTAATTTCGAATAAACGCGACTTCGTCTATCGCAAATCGATTTACAAACACTACTTAATTGTGAAAGACACGATTGAATCTACAATTAAAAAGGTCGATTTCTTAGATTTCTTAGATTTTTCACGTTTCAACAGCCAATAGTCCAGTATCGATCATCTTACGACCGTTACGAAAATTTCAAAAAATTTTATGTATCGTAAAATTTTATTTTCATTTTAAGGATATATGAATAAAAATAATTTATTTTACTAACGTGAGTAAGTTATAATCATAGATAACATAAAATTTTTATTTCATTCATATATATTCATAAGTCTATTTATTATATAATTTATATAATTTAGCTATATTAAAAGAAAAAATTATTCCGTTCTCTTCGAAATCGACCTTCTGGCTACACATCATACACGGAGAAAAGGGTGATACAAAATCTATGTCCAATCGAAACCGACACACACAGATAGAATAAACTGCTGTTTAGTTATTAGTTTAATAGTGATCAGCAATAATTAATTGCTTCCATCTCGTTACGTAGATTAAACAGATATAGGCATCGTAGACACGTAATGTTACTTAATGGTTGTGTTTTTTTTTTTTTTTGTTTAAATTACTTACAGTTTCTATTTACATCTGAGTACATCGCCATCGTGATGGTCTTGAGTCTTATCACGTGTTTTCTAAGAATATATTTTCGAAGAAAGCAACCTCGAACTTTTATCATCAACAATTCACGTGGAAATTCTCGATCGAAGAAACGACTCGTGTCGATTCCTTAAAATTTTATTCCTTCTCTATTTAATCAGAGAATTCTTATCGTGAAAAATTTCTTCTCTTCCACCCGTATTCGAAATTTCGTGCAAAATATCTTCCGAGAAAAGTTTTTTTCAAAAATATCTCTCTTAAATCTCTCCTTTTGAGAATCAGAGAGTTCATCAGGAAATCGCCGACGAACCATATTTCTCCATCCGCTTTCCTCTTATGTTACAAGTGTTATTCGTAATCGCTATTACTAATCGTATTAATAAACGCGATGCAAGTTGTACTGTTTTACAATTACCATATATTATTAAATCCTCGGCCGGCCTCGCTTACCCGAAAATACAAAAATTACACGGCGGAGATCAGCCTTTTCTACTTCGTTCCCCTATTTTTTTTTCTTTTTTCTGTTTTAACCTACAAATATCAACTCTTGCCTCCTATCGTTGCGAGATAATAATAATAATAATATATTACAGGTAGCCCGCCTTTATCACACGGCGGACACTTTCAATAGATACAGAATCGAGGATACGATCGACGATCTCCTGATGATCTCTGCACCGAGCTCTCGAACGATTTCCACTATGATCGATGAAAGATTCGAGGAAGTTGCTAGGAAGAGAAAGAGAAAACGTACAATTAATGATGTGTGCACGGGATGTGGGATCGATTGATCGAAACTCCATACAGGTAATTCTTCGATAAATCTGTAAATTTTATAATCAATTAATTTAATTCTTTTGAGAAGATAAGAAATCTTAATTATTATTATTATTATTTTATTTAGAAAAATGAGAGAATAGATACGAATCGGAAATTTTTCAAACATCTTTTCCTGGAGCCAATTTACATACAGGTGTATGAATTTTTCTTATATCTTTCTTTATTTATCTCTTTTTTTCACGGTGAAGGGGTTGCGCCCATTCGATCGACACCCCGCACCCAGAGAGTGTATAAATCTTACAAGTGTACGTGTGTGTTCAGGTGTATGTGTAGAAGGCATACGAGCATCCCTAAACATTATTTTGGCCGTGAATTTAGAGTGGTTGGAGCACGAATGGATGATCGCTGTTCATCAATCGAACGACTACCGTCCATTCGCCTCTAAAAAAAAGTATACATATATACCCGCTAATAGAAACGATCCTACGTGTGTAATAGCATCGACACGAAAGAATTTCTTACATATACATATCCGTAGAATATTCGTGCATGCACAAATCGTTCCATTCATTTTCACCGGCCTCACCCTTACCCCCTTGCCCCAATTAAAGATTTCCTCTTATTAACGACAATTCAAGAGAGAATCTCGTGTCTCTGCAACTATAAATAATAATTTCTCTTTCGAAACGACTTGTGCTCTTGCCGCGTTAATAATAACGAAATATTCACACACGTGGTGGCAAATAAATGAAACACCCTGTACATACGAAAGTTTCCATAAAGTTTCTAAAAGATTTTTCACACAGCTTATCGCTTTACGTACACGTATCGCCGACAAAGTTTCACCCTTACATATATTTACAGAAGCCGTGACGGCCTTAATTGGGGATTAATTAAACGCACGAGTCCACGAAGAGGTCAAGATTCGCCTGTCAAGGCCGGTTCTCCACGCGGATTTCCGGATTTCACTCCACTTGGGAACCGCCCTCGAGGAGTCCTGGCGTATTTATTATTATTCGACGGTATAATAAATTTCGATGATCGACTAACTTGTGAAAAATTATTAATCTAAGTGTTTCGACGAATAATAAATTCGAGTAATAAATTTAATTTTCGAAAGTTTCGAATTTTTCGAAACGTATCATTCTATTTTTAAAGCTATCACAGAGGAATTTTCTCTTTCTTCTTTTATCATATATCATCGATGTTTCATCGCCGAGAACGTCGAGGACTCCAATCGGCCGAGTTATATATTTACAAGTACAAGACACCAAGAACAAGGGACACGCAAAACATTAAATAGACGATCATAAATCGATCAACGATCGAGCACTCGCACTTTTTCTCTTTCATTTTTTATTCTCTTTCTCTCTCTCTTTCTCTCTCTCTCTCTCTCTCTCTCTCCCTCTCTCTCTCTCTCTCTCTGAATTTTATCGTTAGCACACTTTACTTTGTATATATATCATCTAGAAACATAGATCGTCCCGGTGAACGTCGAAGAAAAATTCGAGAGGCGTTTTGTTTCGAGAGCGAAAGACATCTTGTTTTATTTTTTTTTTTTTTTTCTTTTCTTTTCCACGAGGAAAAATGTAATAATATTTATATATCGGAGTCTAGTACGATCGTATTCGATGAACGAACGCGAGAAAGATACTAGAGAGAAGTTTGTTCAACAGCGAGTTCTGCGAGTAAAACCATGCCGTCGAGATATTTTTCGTTAGTTACAAAAAAATATATCCTCGCGCGATGCGTTCGAAGAGGCTAAATCGTCTTTCTAAATCGAGAAGTGCCGGATCGTTGAGCCCTAGTTCCTAAAG